GCTTTCTTGCATGCCTGCTCTAGACAATAAATTATGAATGTACTTTGTTTGATTGAGTGAAATATGAGTCTGTGAATGATGAATCACTTCAATGCCTAAGAAAAAATTTAAATCACCAAGATCCTTTAATAAAAAAGTAGAATGTAATTTGTTTAAAACTTGTTTGATTTCTTCTTCGTTATTACCTGTAACTAACATGTCGTCAACATATATTAATATATAAATTACTGAAGTTGAAGTAAATCTAGTAAATAGGGAAGTGTCAGATTTTGTCACTTGAAAACCAAGAGACTGTAATGTACCTGTAATTGTGAGATACCAGGCCCTGGGAGCCTGTTTTAGATCATAAATAGCTTTATTTAACTTACAAACCAGATTTGGATTTTGATGAGTAAACCCCTGTGGTTGTGTCATATACACTGTTTCAGCTAGATTGCCATTTAGGAAAGCATTGTGAAAATCATATTGCTTTATTTTCCACCCTTTAGATAGAGCAATAGTAAGTATAATTTGAATAGTGACTGGTTTAATCATAGGTGAATAGACCTGATCATAATCAACACCAGGGGTTTGAATAAAACCCTTAGCCACTAAACGTGCTTTATGTCGAATAATTTCACCCTTTGCATTCCTTTTTAAGGCAAATATCCACTTGCAACTCACAATTTTTTCATTTGGTGGTGGTTCAACTAGAGTCCAAGTGTTATGATATAGAAGGGCTTTGTATTCTGTCAACATTGCTTCCTTCCACTTTGGTGATTGTAGGGCAATTCGGACAGATTTAGGTATTACAGCAGAATCTGAAAGGGAGTTTATAGTGCTTACCTGAAGTGCTTTAGGTCGTGATTTACCTGTTTTTGACCGAGTTTCCATAGGATGAGTGTTGGTAGAATGGGTTGTTGTTGTTGCATTTGGTGGAGGAAGAGGTAGAGCAATTTCGATACCTGAAATAGGAACGAGACTAGGGGAAGGGGAGGGGTTAGGTTGCTGCACATCAGCAGCATTAGTATGTGTATTTTGATTGTTGAGAAAGATTTCAGGTTGGTTAGGAGGTATAGTAGATGAAGGATTAAAAGATGAAGGTGGCATAACAGAAACTTGTGGTAAAAATTCTGGAAAGGAGGATGTTATATTATAATTTAGATTATCATTAGCAGTAAAAAAAATTAGTTGAGGGAAAGTTAGATTCATCAAAAACAACATCACGAGAGATAATGATTTTTCCACACTTTGTTAAGCATTTGTAACCTTTTTGTTGTGTAGAGTACCCTAAAAATATGCAAGGTTGAGATCTGAATTCTAATGTATGATTATTGTAAGATCTAATGTGAGGAAAACATAGGCAACCAAAGACTCTCATATATATAATCAGGAATTTGTTTGTACAATAGTTCAAAAGGGGATTTAGAGTGAGTGTTTGGTGATGGGAGTCTGTTAATGAGATGTATTGCTGTAATTAAAGCTTCATCCCATAGGTATAGAGGTAAAGAAGCAGTGGCTAAAAGAGCCAATGTTGTCTTTATTATATGCGTATTTTTTCTCTCTGTAATATCGTTTTGCTGTGAAGTATAGGGGCATGTAAGTCTATGCTGAACCCCTTCTTGTTTTAAAAAAGCAGTAAATTGTTTTGAAAGGTACTCCTTAGCATTATCAGTTTGTAGTGCTTTAATAAAATAACCAAGTTGTTTCTCCATGAAATTTTTATATTCCTTAAAAGCAGTAAAAACTTCATGTTTATTTTTCAGTAGATACACAGTTGTATGTCTAGAATACACATCAATAAACGACACATAATAACGCACCCGAGATTTACATTCAATAGGGGCTGGTCCCCACACATCAGAAATAATTAATTGTAAAGGAGAATTATAACTAGTAAATGAAAAAGAGTAGGGTAATCTATGTGACTTAGCTAAACAGCAAGATGTACACAAAGAATTAGATGAATTGTTTGCATTAATAGGTAAAGAATAGGTGTTTACAATGTCATGTACAATTTTTGCGATGGGATGTCCAAACCGCTTATGATAGAGATCAAAATTCAAACAAACAGTGGATAAAATGGTAGGATTAGCATGAATAGAAACAGTCTTTGGTATATCAATTCTTTTAAAGCGATGCATTCCTTTAATTAAAGTTCCCTTGAGAAGAACTTGGTTGGTATCCTGAGATTTAACAAAACAATAATCAGGCCAAAAACAGAAATACACATTATTATCCCTTGCAAGCCTAGACACACTGATTAGATTATGAGCAATTGAAGGAACATGCAATAAATCATACAGAAAATATCTTTTAGCAGTAGGAATATGTTGTAAAAAAGATTGACCAATATGATTTATTTTGATACCTGTACCATTTCCAATATAGACTTGTTCTTGACCTTGATATGCTGTGGAATTTTGTAGGTTTGACAAATCTGGAGTACAATGGTGAGAAGCACCAGAATCAGCATACCAAGACCGATCTTCCAGTGTGTATGGGTGCGCAATCATTGCTTTCGGGTTGTGGGAGCTGGGTGGGGGAGGTAAGGCAGTATGTATATTTGAATTGTTTTGATTTTGTTGGTTATACTGTGCTTGTTGATTGAATCTGAAGTAGCAATATGTTGCTATATGTCCTAGTTTGCCACATATTTGGCATTGAGGACGGTTATTGTTCCAGTTGTTGTTTCTGCCTCCTCCTCCTCTGTTATCGCGACCTCCGCGGCCCCTTCTTGAAGAATTTCCTCTATTTGAGTTGTTATTGTTGTTGTTGCTGTAATTGTTGCTGAAACTGAGTTGTGGAGTCTCTGATTTCTGTTCTGCTTGTCTTGAATTTGCAGCTTGAGTAACATTAACCTGAACCATATTGGAATCTGGTTTCTTGAGGCGTTCAATAAGCTCTTCCTCTGCCATCAAGAGTGCTTCAAGATCTAGAATGGAGAGTGGAGTTTCCCTTGTATTGACAGAGGTAACAAGTGGGTGGTACTCCTCATTCAAGCCATCAAGAATGATGTTGGTATATTCATTGTCAGAAATTGGGGCTCCAACAGTGGCTAAAGCATCAACAAATTTCTTTATTTGCAGCAGGTATTCAGCACTTGAACTTACTTTCTTGATAGTTTTCAATTGAAGTTGTAGCTGTCTTACCTTGGCCCTTGTTTGGGAAGAGAAAAAAGTATGCACTCTACTCCATGATTCATGGGCAAATTGGCATCCAAGGATTCTGTGTTTGCAGGATCCATCCATGGATGCAAAAAGCCATGAGTTGACATTATAGTCTTCCACCTTCCATTCTTGATACTCTTTTGTTTCCAAGCCTTTTTCTTTATCTTCTGGGGTTGCAAATTGGGTGGGAATCTTCTCTTTTTCCAAATGGTGTTGCAGTTTCTGTCCACTTAGGGTTTGAGTAACTTGATACCTCCATGTCAAAAAATTATCACTTGTGAGTTTATCTAAAATTGGAATTGCCAATGATTTCTGAATTTGATTATTTTGAATTGCAGATGCAGCAGCAGAAGGATCTGGGATGTTGATTACTTCAGCAGCCATGAATCTTTAACAAAGCTCACTGATACCATGTGAAAGTAAAGGGAAATCTTGAAGAACAAGAAGATGATAAAACTGAATTGTAACTAACTCTCTTTTGTATTATTGTGTAATGAGAACGTTCTCTGAAGTTGTAAACAGAATGAATGTAAAGTGCTTTCATTAGTCTAACTATATGGGTTTTATACCCAAGCATACTTAACTCTTAACACTGGCCCAAGATAGACCCAATTTGGGCTTGGTAATCAGATAGAGCATGAAGCCCAATTTGGGCAAGATGAGTGAACGAAGCAGGGTTCCCAAACTCACCCTTCACTTCGACACACACATCACAATATGACTATCCATGGCTAAGTTTTGACTAATGAGTAGAGAGACAACACACGCAGCATTTGTTAAAGTTGTGATATGTTAAATATGAATAATACTGGTTATGCACGAGGTAGTGATAATATATGATTTTATGTCTTATTAAGGGTGAGAAGAGTAGTAATTTCATTTTGTTTGTGTCTTCCATACGAGAAGTTGTTTTTACCCTAGTTTGTAGAGGTAGTGGAGTAGTAGACAATTTGAGAGGAACATCCGAAGTGGTTCTCGTTCACGGCGACCAAAGCGACAATAATATTAAGGACGATGTTAGTTATTAGTTGTTGAATTGTGGTTGGGTGAATGTAGAAATTAGTATATAATGATGTAGTCTATTTTGTCAATCCCATCTTTGAGGATGTTGCTGACTTGCTGTGGTAGGCCGTCATGCAAACAAAGACTAATCTTTTGGGATGATTTCTATTTATGAGTTTGTCGTTGGTCAATATATTATTGTTGTATATATAAAATGGGATTTGAACCCCTAATTTTCATTTAAACAGATTAATGAACTGAAGAGTAGACGGGCGGGATGGGAGCCTAATTTTTGTGGTTTTTTTTAAAAAAATCTCAGGTTGTAGTTTTTTTTATTTTGGGTCTTGGATTGGAGATTATTTGGGTGTATGATGTGGGGGTTATAGTTTCATTATGTTTGTCCCAACAATAAAGGAATCTAGGTTGGCAAGTGTTTGGACTATAGAGGATTAAGGGCCTTATTGGGCTATTTCCAGCAATATTTTGAATTTCTTTAACTAAATATTTCATCAAGTCCAAAAAACAACTAAATAATTCATCAAATTACATATAAAAAAAAAGTTTCATCAAATTAGTGTTCGATTTGTCAAAAAAAGAAAATTAGTGTTCGTTTCTTCTTCTCATAGAAGCCACCATATAAATATAAATATAAATATTAATGTAGAAATCCATGAAAAAGACTCGGTTTATTTTAAGATAAAATTAAATATTTTTAATTATTAAATACTTTTTTAGGGAAAAATAGTTTTGTGCCGTACAGCACTGTAAATCTGTGATTAATCCGTCAACTATACAGGAAGTTACAACTATTTATTTAAAAAACAATGTATACAACAACTAAAATTGATTTCCGACCTGCCGGATTCGAACCAGTGACCTAAGGATTATCCTTCAATTTTCCACAACAGTCCTTCGCTCTACCAACTGAGCTAAGGTCAGTTTATGATAGGTGTCAACAATAATATAATTTAAAGTTACTAATATTTCATCTTAAGGTCCAAAGTTTAATAATATGATAAAAAATCGGTGCCAAGAAAGCACGAAATAAGCACCCGTATTCTAAATTGTACCGAACTTTAGAGTGGTTTACAACCTTGCATTTAAATGTTACATTACATGGAATAGTTGCAAAAAGTAGGGTTTTATTTATAAGCTAATACTCTAATAAAAAAATACAATAAAATCAGTATTTAACTATTTTCATATACAATAATTATAGACAAGTGAATTTTACAACCAAGCTTAACTAAGTTTTCCCAATTCACGCGCCTCTTATTAACTATTAGGATTTGTTATTTTCGTTTTTTGAAAAATGAAATCCCTGATTTTTCATTCATTCTGTTTTTGCATAACATACGTTATTAGCAAGTATTTATTCACTGCCGTTCTCTCATTATCTTAATCATCTCATTTCATTTTCTTTGTTTCTGATTTGATTTATGGATGAATGTTCTCAATTCGTCACTATGGTGATTCTATTTTTTATTTCTGATTAGTTTGATGATGAAGGCTATTAATTATGTAAATAGGAGGAGGAAAAAGAGTAGTAGCAGTAGCAAGAAGAAGAAGAAGAAGAAGAAGAGTAACAGCAGTAGCAGGAAGAAGGAGGAGGAGGAAGAAGAAGATGGAGTACATTTGAGTGGTAACTTTCAATAATTCAAAATCCATTTCTACTTTCATTCAAAATCCGTTTCTATTTTCATGAAAATCCAATTTGGTTTTTATATATGAAAATTCGTTTCTACTTTTCATTCAAAATCCGTTCCTATTTTCATTCAAAATATGTTTCTACTTTCATTCAAAATCTGTTTCTGTTTCCTGAAATCCAATTTTGTTTTCATTCAAAATCCGTTTCTGTTTTCATTCAAAATCCGTTTTTGTTTTTATTAAAAATTCGTTTCTGTTTTCATTCAAAATTCTTTCTGTTTTTATTAAAAATCCATTTCTGTTTCATTAAAATTCCGTTTCTGTTTTTATATAAATTTCGTTTCTATTTTTGTTTAATATCCAATTCAGTTTTTCATCATCAACAACAACAACAATAACAACAACACCAACAACATCAACAATTGAGGAGGAGGATGAGAAGGAAGAAGAAGAAGAGGGAAAAAAAAGAGGACGAAAAAGAGAAAGAATAAGAGAAAGAAGAAGAGGACGGAGAAGAGAAAGAAGATGGCAGCAACAACAATGACGATGATGGCGGCGGCAACAACAACAAGAAGAAGAAGGAGGAAGAGAAGGAAGAGGCGTTGCAGCAGTTACAGAGAAGAAGAAGAAGAAGAAGAAGAGGGGCGCGTGTTTTTACGTTCTTTAGTGGGAGTGGTTATTTTTTACTTGGTTGGACTTAATTAAGGTAATTAATTTTAATATGTATTTTATACTTATTTCCTTTAATTTTGTATTCATATATATGTCATATGTCATCATTAAATTTGTTTGGTATGTAGTGTGTTTTTTTAAATGATTTGAAATTTACATATATAAATAATTATGTTTAACTATTTAGAAATGGAAACAACATGTGTAATGAGAAACATGATTACTGATTAGGATATAATACTACAATAATGAGATGTCATGGATCAGCTTTAATTTGTCTTAAACTACAGTTGATGATAAACTGTCCTATTTTTAAAATTAAAAGTATAAAACAAAAATAATACTATGGTGGAGCCATATTTTTATAAAAAGTAAAAATTATTTTTTTAATATTTAAAAATAAAAAAATTATCACATATAATACACATTTAAATTTTTAAATTTAATAAAAATTTTCACTTTAATCCGATTTTAAGGTAGAAATTCCCATCAAGCTAAGCTAAGCTTGTTTTTATTTATTTTGGGGGACATGAAGCTAAGCTTTTTTGTCACACATACAGAATATGGGCCTCACAATTGTTGTCAGATTAGTCCACTTTGACCTGACAAATGGGTTCGGTTTTTCATAATGCTTAGGGAAAAAAGGTTAAAAATTCTGACCTTGTATACGGACTAATCTCATCCTCATTATTTATATGTTGTTCCCTCTTTTTAGGGTTGTGGTTTTGTCAACCCTTTCGTATGGTCTGTGTCACATGCAAACTTCAGCCTTTAATTTAACCCCAAATATCCAACTATGATCTGTAGCTCTCCATCTTAGGACTTCTTGTGCATGCATGTGAATTGGACCATGTTAATAAAGGCTAAGGATTGGTGCACCGGTAACCTTGCCAAAATAATGGTAAACTTTACCCAGTTTTTTTACTTTTAAAAATTAAAAAAAGAATTATAAGCAGCACTAAAATTTCATACATGGCTAACTCAATTTATAGAATCCGTGGCTCTTAAAATTTATAAAAATTCCATTATTTTCAGTCATGTGCTATGAAATTCTATGTGTTTTAGGTCTTAAAACTCTGCTAGTTTCTCTAATTAATTGCTTCATCCGCTCTTCTAATTTTAATCCCCTACGGTTCCAATAACCATGTGGGTAAGTTATCCATGGACTCCATTGTTGAATGTACACTATTGAGTATGTGAGTTGAGGTGAGAAAACAAATTACTTGCTTTCTTTATGCAGAGGAGAGTAGAGTGAATGGATTTGAGAAACCAAAAACCAGCGTTTAAAGCATGAATCATGACATTTTTCACATGGTTCATACACTCTTTTTATTTTTTTAAATGGAGATTGAACTGTGCATCTTGTTACTAACTACTGTGATCCATTCCAAGATTTTCTAAGATATTAATCCATTTTAAGATTTTTTCAAATTCTAAAAGAAAAGAGATAAAAAGATAAAATAAGTGATAGAAGACTAGAAGCAGAAATGGCAAAAAAGAAAGGGGGCTCGCAATTAAAAATTTAGTTTTCAATGGAAGAATTTAAATTTTTAAAAATAAAAAATGGGTAAAGAGGGCCACCACCAAATCCTTAGCCTAAAGAGAATTATATATAGTCAAAGAAGTAGAGAGACTCCGGATTATTCGTACATATACACGTACATATAATTTAACTATATTTATCACCATTGCCACTAATGATGTTATATATATATATATACATAATTAATATATATATATATATATATATATCATATAGTAATTCTATATTTACATAAAATATTATTTATACACCAAATAAATACTCATGATATCCATATAAAAATGTGATTGTTATTAATTAATGATGCATTTAAAATGTATTTTAATTAATAAAATAAGAAACCTCGGGGGTGATTGTTAATAAAATACTAGTGTCAAAATAGTGTCTCTGTTAAAAATGATATAAATATTTTTTTATATAAATATTTGTAGATTAGTAAGAGAAAAAAAATATTTGTGGATTTCTTTTCTCTATTTTTTCGATAAGATAGAAAGATGTTTTTTTTTGTTGTTTCCATGGTATCCCCAATTCAAAAGGTTAAAAATTAATCCATTATGTATCTAAACTCAATTTTAAAATTTATCATTGGCCAATGAATTATTGTATACATAAAATGAGATTTAAACTACTATCAATTAACTTGCTTAAGTGGACTATTTTATAGATAAAATAAGATCCTCTTAGTCAATTATGTTTATTCTTTAATACCTTATTTACTAATGTTTTTAGGTCATTTGATACATTATAATTCTTATTATCTACTAACTAGTGTCTTCACAGGTATTAAGTGTCCATTCTTCAGCCGCTTAAAAAAAACAAATATCTAGCTATCTTATTTTAAAGCAACATACAGATTAAAGATTTGAAAATGGTCGTAATATATTTTTCTTAAAATAAAATAAATATAATATTAAATAGATTTAATTATACTGGAGATTCCTATAGTTTAACTCAATTTTTAATTAAGTCCCCATAATTTTTTTTTATTTTCAATTGAGTCCCTATATCACATTAAGGTAGCGTTTGGTTTAGTGGACTGGGACTGAAACAGGGAGACTGAGATTCAGTATTGTGTTTGTTAGACATGGACTAGAACTAAAATTTCAGTCCCAGTCCCCAAAATTCCAGTATTTTCAGTACCTCCAACTTGGAGGGATTGAAAGACTGGGACTGGGACTGAAACTTTAATGATATTTCTATCCTAACATACCTTTATTCAATCTATCAAATTCCAAGTTTCACCCTCTCCATCTCAGCACATTTCAACCACTGTCTCATCCCTGTTAACAAAAACACCATTTCTTCTTCAATTCTAAAACCTTCACCACCACAAGTATAGCACCATCATCAACATAGAACAACACAATTAACAAAGGTCAATAGAGCACGTCAGGCATAACTTCAATTGACAAAAAAAAAATTCAACAAAACTAAAAAACAATTTCATACCAATTGGCAAAACAAAGAACCAGTAACATTGGATTGAAGAAAATTTTAATGGAAAATTTCTCAAAAAATATATTAAAATAAAAACAAAAGTTAAAGAGAGAAACTTTGGAAAAATTTTATAGCAGAGATTTAAATCTCAACTCAAGCTGGAGAATGGAGTGCAATGGAGAAGAAGGGATGACACAGTTCTTGAAACTAAGACGGAGAAGCCTTGCCTTTTGAACGATGAAGAATGCGGTGTTCTCTTCTTCTATGGTGACTTCCTTTTATTGCAGGGATCAACTTAATTTCACGAGAAGTCCCGATAGTGGCAAAGCTGCTATCCCGACGCTGCAGCAATGGTGGATGTGCGAAGACAAAACTGCTATCACAACATGTGTGAAGGCAAAGCGTAGCAACACTATGTCAGAGACGGGGTGAAGAGCAGTGCATTGCGCCATCAATGGGGTACAGAGCGGTGCACTTGCGCCGGCGACAAGGGTCGAAGAGTGGAGTTGGGGAGACATAGTTCTCATCTTCTCGTGACAGGGGAGGCGGAAATGGATTAGGGTTTTTTTTCTCTGTAAAAAAATAAGGGGTGTTCTTGTCATTTAGCATATTTTAGTCTCCAAACTTTTATTTTTGTTAA